TTGGAGACATAACTGTTCATAGTATAAGAATACTTGTAACTGACAGAGACCTTGCCCTTATCTCTGCTGTTCGAACCGAGTTACCACATGTCAAACACCAGTTCTGTGTTTGGCACATTGAGCAAAATATTATTAAAAATTTAAACAGTAAGCTTAAGGACAAATTTATAGCATTTAATAAGGATTTTAAGGCAGTGATGGTTAAGGCTGTAGAGGAAAAATTTAATATCCGATAGGATTGTTTACTAACCAAATATTCTGAAACGAGCAGTTATATGATGAAACAATGGAAGCCCTATGATAATATGTGGTCATATTGTTATACAAACAAAAATGTAAACTATGGAGTAAGAACAACTCAGCAGTCAGAGGCCACTAATGCACATTTAAAGCGTTTACTTAGTCATTCGGCACCTTTGTCTAAGTTAGTTAATGCATTGGAAAAGTTAGCCCGTCATCAACTCCAGAGTTCTCAGTACCAACAATATCGCATACGTGGAAGTATCTGACAACAATGTCCTGAATTATTAGTAGATATTTCAATGGTTGTGTCAGATTTTGTATACACATTATTGTTAGAACAATATAATATAGCTGCTAGTTATGATATTAACAAGCAAAATGTGGGCTTGTTTCAAGTTTATCGCAATGAAGATCACAAGCACACAATATATCAAACTGATGCTGGATATGTTTGTTCTTTTAATTATAATACACAATTTTCTTTATCGTGTCGTCACATTTTCACTGTTCATATTGCTAGTAAGAAGGTTATGAATGTTAATTATATTGGTGCTCGATGGATTGTCTCGCCGGCAGGGTTTAATACGCCACAAGCAGAAAATCTAAATCATCTTAATGAAAATCTTGTTAATAATAATGAATTTGAAAGTGAGTTTTTACCTTTTTCTAATCATAATATTAATGAGATATCTGATCAACAAAAACATCATCGAAGTACTGTGAATTTACTTAAAGCCATCAAAGCTATTTCTAACCAAGTAGGTTATATTGAAATAAACAGCATCTTGGCGCATTTTGTAGACCAATTGAACAGCAAATATCCCTTATTACAAGATGATATTGGGAATCCTCCTATCACAAAGACAAAAGAAAGGCCAAACAGTACCAAGTGCAAGAAGATAGGTGCCGAATATGCTACTAAAAAAACCTACATATGTGGTGTTTGTAACAATTCTGGACATAATTCTAGAAGTTGTCTACAAAAGGTAAGAATATTTACTAAACTAGATGCTTTATTATACAGTGTACATAATAATACAATCTTTACTATATTTAGTGCCAAGCTTTAATATATACAATATGCATATAATGATAATGCTGTAATGTATAGAAGGTTTATATTAGTTAACATATGATTATTGTGTTCTTTTCATTATGTGCAGATTATATATATTAGTTATTTGAACTAGACTATTGTTATTTTTTTATTATTATGTTATTAAATGATCATTTGTCTTAGTTCTTCAGTAACTTTTATATTTTTTCTTATTGTATATGCACTAGTGAAGATATGATTAGTATTTAGATTGAACTTAATTATATTGCATAATTAATATCGAGAATATTTGTGAGTGATATAGGGTTAAATGTATTAGTATCGATATTAATCGGTTTTCATCTTTGTTATTAGTGACACTACAAATAATTACAATATACATGCTTCTATCATTTTTATGGAAATTTGTGTCATATCTTGGGTAATTGAAGATTGCAAAATATATAGTTAGAATCAATTGATGGAATATATTATCTACTATATTATACTAAAATTTTAACTAAAAGTTCTTAAGGAATTCACTGTAAAATGAACAAAAAATTATTGTGACTATAAAATACATATCTTATATTGATGTTGAAATGTAACAAGCAGTCCTATAAATGATGGCTCAGATACATCGAAGGTAATAAAAAACTTATGCTTTCGGATTCATTAAATTTAGTTCGTTACTAGTTAATTCTGATTAGTTGAACTAAGTTTGTTTTACGTATTTTAGGTTTGTGTGAATCTCAATTTAGTAACAGGAGCAACTGTTCAAATTCGTAGATTATTTCGATATAGTTACACAATTGATAAATCATTTTTTTTATACGTTTTACAATACTTTACTTAAAAGCTCAGGTAGCTTAACTTTCTATGAAATGAGGGTAAATTTAACAGATGAATTTATGCCTTCACTTCACCTTAACATATTCTTTGAATCCCTGTGAATCCCACAATTTCTTTTTTACAATCTGATTGTCTGATTTACTAAAATTTGAAATATGGTTAGTTGATAATTATATGTAACTATAACAGAAGAATCTACAAATTTTAACGGTCACTCCTGTTCAATTTAGTTCAAGGTGAGCTCAGTTGAACTCATAGTGTCATAGAATGGCATTTTTCTGATTGGCTAAAGTAAATCAATTCTCCAGAGAACTTATTTATATACTTTAGAGAATGTAACGTTTCATTAATAAAAAGTCATCATAAAGGTCATTCTTAGTTTTAAATGAACATCACGCAAAAGAATCCAAAAAGAATCCACTTCCTGACTTATTTAGAAGACAAAAATATATCCTCATCTATTGGATTGCATAAAATAATACTGTAGAGTGAAGGTAACTAAAAATATTTTTATCTAAAACTTTTATTAATTTGAATAGGTTCAAGCTTTTTAATAGTAAAAAACCTGATAAATTCTTTTAATTTTTGGAGGAATGTTAAAGCCAGGTTTGGTTAAGGTTAGTTTTTTGATTTAGTTATAGTTATGTAAATGAATTTTAACGAACCTCAATTTTCAGCTAATTTGATTAGATCTTATCGAGCAGTAGTCACGTGATTTTGGTTACAAAAATAGCAGTCACGTGACTTTTAGAAACAGTGGATATCTGGTGCCCAAGTAGGCTATTGGAGCCTGGAGTCACGTGACAGGTTAAAATAACCCAGGTCAAAATAGAAATTCCCTTAAAATTATTGTAAGTAATAAATCTAAAAAATTCCAATAACTTTAGTGTTGGCAATTTGATCTATCAATAGACCAACTAAACTATATCAATTGGTCTGATTGATAGGTCAAATTGCCAATATTTCTAAAACTAACTTTTAGAATTTGAGGCCATATCTTTAACATGATTAAGAATTATGTTAAAGAGAGAAATAATTCAAGAAGCTGTACAATATAAACTAGATGATATTTTGATTGTTAGATCTTTAAATAGCTCAAGAAATTGGCAATTTTTCTAAAATTGTCTATTGATTATGAAAAATAGCATAGTTATGAAGGTCATCATAATTGCTTGTAAGAGTATTTAATGCCTACAAATATTATAGGTCTGTGCAGTTAATATATTAATAAAATTTTATAATAGTAATAATAAATAATTAATTAAATAAAAAAATATTGTATAATAGTAATAATAAATAATTAATTAATTAAAATATGACTTATATAATAATAAATTAACAATAAATTAGAATTTTTAATAAATAAATTAAGAAATAGATAAATTAAATTAAATAATAAAATTAAAAGAATTTACTAATTTACCTCAACATCTAATTAGCTACTAGTTATTTACTTAGTAGAAGATTTATATTATTAATCAAATTTTTATACTCTGATAGTGAAGTTAAAAACATCCATAAATAAAATATTAATAAATTGTTTATAAAGTTAAAAAAAAAAATTTACAATGGAACTCTAAACAACTTAGATTCTGATACTTTAACTATATCTTAATTTGGCTGCAAGAATAGCTCTAGCTAAAATAGAGAAAGATGTTTGTAAGGTATTAGTATAAACTTTACATAACCTTTTTTTTTTTTAAAAAAAAAAACAAATTTATTATACTCAAACAATTAAAATTCAAGAACTTAATTCCACTATTCATATATAACCTTAATGTATTGAGCTGTTTGAAAAAACATGTAATGCATGCTATATTAAATTTTGCACTTATTTTAGATTGTTCTACTATGTGGAACTCTACTCATGATATAATTAAGAATAGGTTATTTTTTAAACAAGTAGGCTTTTTACTTTATTGATTTATTAACTATATTAATAATTTATTTATTATTATATAAGTGCTGCCAAAAGAAACCCTGTTATTAATTATATAGATTTTATATAATTGATAACTGGTTTTTCTTTGGCAACACTTATATATACTTTTATTTAAAAATTAACTAATTCATTATTAAAAAAATTTAATTTATTAATATTTAATTTACTACTATTTAATTTATTACTATTTAATTTACGAACAAAAGTACCATTATTTGAAGCATTATCAAATTAATAGCAAAAAGCTTTCAGGAAAAAAAAGGTCAGAACATTTTTTTGCATAAAATTAAAGCTAAACTAAACATAAAATAAATTCATTTCATGCTAGCTTAGCATAAAGTCAAATTATTTAATGTTAAGTTTAGCATAATATAAATTTGGTTTTATACTAATTTTAGTATAAAGCCAAATTCATTTTATGCTAAACTTAATATTAAATAATTTGGCTTTATGCTAAGCTAGTATAAAGTAAATTTATTTTATACTAATCTTAGATAAAGCTAAATTTATATCAATATCTTTGATGTAATTTTATAATCTTTTAATACTTTAAAAAATCTATTAGAAATATTCATTCCATTATAATTTTCATTTAATAATTCAAAGTTAATTAATATTTCTTGAAGGGTCTAATTGTTATCTATATAATGAGCTGTAACAAAAATAAAAACCTTGTTGTTAGGAGATGTTCAAAGGTCTGATGTAAAGAAAATTCTAGAATTTATAGCAGAAAGATATGTCTATAACACTGTAAGTATTAGTGAATAATAAATATATATATGAAATAAAATAAAATAGCTCTAATCAAATAAAAATAATAAATAAATCATTTTAAATAAATAACTCTAATTAATAAATAAATTAAATAAATAAATAAAAAATAACAATAAATAAATAATTTAAAAATAATTTAATAGATTTTGTAAAAAAAAAAATACTTTAATTAAATATATAAACTTATATAATAAGCTTTTCAATTAAATTTAATATAATATAGTTGTCCTCCTATACAGTTACCTTCTATATAATCATGTCCTTCTTAAAACACCATTTTTTGAAAAATTATTAGTGATATATTTATTAAAAAACTTTATATGATCACATTGTTATTAAAAATTTATAATCATATCTTTTTTATATAAAACAGACAGCATGATTATAAAGAAGAATATTTGTACATTATAGTGCTTTAGGTTTTCAAGATTAAATTAAAATAAATTTAAAAAAATAAAAAATAAAATAAAAAAAAAATAGAAAAAAAATTAAATTAAAAAAAATAATAATTGTAAGCTTGCCTTTAACTTCTTTTTCTTGAATCATAATGTGACATTATTGCTTCTTTAATTGTATTAGCTTTAACTAACTGTGCTGTAGAATTCAAATATTTTATAATTTCAATTAAATCAAGATCTTCAATTATATTAAATGGGCATTGATAATTAATAATCCAGGTGAAAAACATATCATGAAGCTTTATATTATCAATATCAACCAATGTTAGGTCTTTAGAATTCTATACAATATTTTTCAAATTAGATTAACTTAAAATTAATAATAATAATTCAATAAAAAAAAATAAAAAAAGAACTAACTAGAGTTTTGAAGTGCAAGCATGATACTAATAAAATATAATGCCTGTACCAGGCATTATATTTTAATAGTATTGTGCCTGGCACTTCAGAACCTTAAAGCTAACCTTTCTAAATGTATCCTCAACAATATCACATCTACTTTGTGTTTTTCTTTTTTTTTAGTAAATTCTTCTGTTATGATATACTGAGTCTAGTATGCACTTTCCAAATAGCACCATAGTCACCTGATAGTGTTTTCTTTTTACAAGAAAACTCATTATGTTGGCACTTTAATACTGTACATTTAGCTGTTTTTTTTCCTTTTGCTATACAACCTTTCTAAAAAAATCACACATCTCATTTCTATTATTTCACTTGCTAGTTGTACTACAATTATCATTAGTGCATTACCATTGTCATTATCATAATCATTACTATGGCCATTGTTATAGTTATTATTATAGTTATTATCATAGGCATTATCATAACTGTTGCTATAGTCATTATCATAGTTATTATCATGAACATTACCATAGTCATTATATGAGATGTTGATGTAACTTCTTCTAATTCCATAGATATAAAACTTATTATTCATTAGCCAATTTTTTTTTTACTTAATTTGATTCAATTTAAGATAATTACTTATAAAAACTTTCCTAAAAATAA